AACATTTGAAGGTTGAAATGTATTTGTCAGAAAGAGATCTTGATTAAAGAATATAACATCAAGTTGTAATCCTTACACTAATGTCTGCTTGTAATATGAAAAATTCTTATGTTATGAGAGTCTGGTGTTTTACAACATTGTGTTAGGGAAATGTATTTGTGAATCAGAAAGAGATCTTGATTAAAGTAATATAACATCCAAGTTTCAATCCTTACACTAATGTCTGCTTGTAATATATGAAAATTCTTATGTTATGAGAGTCTGGTGTTTACAACATTGTGCTAGGGAAATGTATTTGTATGAATCAGAAAGAGATCTTGATTAAAGTAATATAACATCCAAGTTGTAATCCTTACACTAATGTCTGATAATATGAAAAATTCTTATGTTATGAGAGTCTGGTGTTTACAACATTGTGTTAGGGAAATGTATTTGTGAATCAGAAGAGATCTTGATTAAAGTAATATAACATCCAAGTTGTAATCCTTTAATGTCTGCTTGTAATATGAAAAATTCTTATGTTTTGAGAGTCTGGTGTTTACAACATTGTGCTAGGGAAATGTATTTGTGAATCAGAAAGAGATCTTGATTAAAGTAATATAACATCCAAGTTGTAATCCTTACACTAATGTCTGCTTGTAATATGAAAATTCTTATGTTATGAGAGTCTGGTGTTTACAACATTGTGTTAGGGAAATGTATTTGTGAATCAGAAAGAGATCTTGATTAAAGTAATATAACATCCAAGTTGTAATCCTTACACTAATGTCTGCTTGTAATATGAAAAATTCTTATGTTATGAGAGTCTGGTGTTTACAACATTGTGTTAGGGAAATGTATTTGTGAATCAGAAAGAGATCTTGATTAAAGTAATATAACATCCAAGTTTAATCCTTTAATGTCTGCTTGTAATATGAAAAATTCTTATGTTATGAGAGTCTGGTGTTTATTTGTTAGGGAAATGTATTTGTTCAGAAAGAGATCTTGATTAAAGTAATATAACATCCAAGTTGTAATCCTTTACTAATGTCTGCTTGTAATATGAAAAAAATTCTTATGTTATGAGAGTCTGGTGTTTACAACATTGTGTTAGGGAAATGTATTTGTGAATCAGAAAGAGATCTTGATTAAAGTAATATAACATCAAGTTGTAATCCTTACACTAATGTCTGCTTGTAATATGAAAAATTCTTATGTTATGAGAGTCTGAATTTACAACATTGTGGGGAAATGTATTTGTGAATCAGAAAGAGATCTTGATTAAAGTAATATAACATCAAGTTGTAATCCTTACACTAATGTCTGCTTGTAATATGAAAAATTGTAATCCTTAAATGAGTCTGGGCTGAAAAATTTTACAACATTGTGTTAGGGAAATGTATTTGTGAATCAGAAAGAGATCTTGATTAAAGTAATATAACATCAAGTTGTAATCCTTACACTAATGTCTGCTTGTAATATGAAAAATTCTTATGTTATGAGAGTCTGGTGTTTACAACATTGTGTTAAATCAGAAAGAGATCTTGATTAAAGTAATATAACATCAAGTTGTAATCCTTACACTAATGTCTGCTTGTAATATGAAAAATTCTTATGTTATGAGAGTCTGCAACATTGTGTTAGGGAAATGTATTTGTGAATCAGAAAGAGATCTTGATTAAAGTAATATAACATCCAAGTTGTAATCCTTACACTAATGTCTGCTTGTAATATGAAAAATTCTTATGTTATGAGAGTCTGGTGTTTAAACATTGTGTTAGGAAATGTATTTGTGAATCAGAAAGAGATCTTGATTAAAGTAATATAACATCCAAGTTGTAATCCTTACACTAATGTCTGTTGTAATAAAAATTCTTATGTTATGAGAGTCTGATTTACAACATTGTGCTAGGAAATGTATTTGTGAATCAGAAAGAGATCTTGATTAAAGTAATATAACATCCAAGTTGTAATCCTTACACTAATGTCTGCTTGTAATATGAAAAATTCTTATGTTATGAGAGTCTGGTGTTTACAACATTGTGCTAGGGAAATGTATTTGTGAATCAGAAAGAGATCTTGATTAAAGTAATATAACATCCAAGTTGTAATCCTTACACTAATGTCTGCTTGTAATATGAAAAATTCTTATGTTATGAGAGTCTGGTGTTTACAACATTGTGTTAGGGAAATGTATTTGTGAATCAGAAAGAGATCTTGATTAAAGTAATATAACATCCAAGTTGTAATCCTTACACTAATGTCTGCTTGTAATATGAAAAATTCTTATGTTATGAGAGTCTGAGTTTTACAACATTGTGCTAGGGAAATGTATTTGTGAATCAGAAAGAGATCTTGATTAAAGTAATATAACATCAAGTTGTAATCCTTACACTAATGTCTGCTTGTAATATGAAAAATTCTTATGTTATGAGAGTCTGGTGTTTACAACATTGTGTTAGGGAAATGTATTTGTGAATCAGAAAGAGATCTTGATTAAAAAGTAATATAACATCCAGTTGTAATCCTTACACTAATGTCTGCTTGTAATATAAAAAATCTTATGTTATGAGAGTCTGGTGTTTACAACATTGTGCTAGGGAAATGTATTTGAGAATCAGAAAGAGATCTTGATTAAAGTAATATAACATCAAGTTGTAATCCTTACACTAATGTCTGCTTGTAATATGAAAAATTCTTATGTTATGAGAGTCTGGTGTTTAAATTGTGCTAGGGAAATGTATTGTGAATCAGAAAGAGATCTTGATTAAAGTAATATAACATCAAGTTGTAATCCTTACACTAATGTCTGCTTGTAATATGAAAAATTCTTATGTTATGAGTCTGGTGTTTACAACATTGTGCTAGGGAAATGTATTTGTGAATCAGAAAAGATCTTGATTAAAGTAATATAACATCAAGTTGTAATCCTTACACTAATGTCTGCTTGTAATATGAAAAATTCTTATGTTATGAGAGTCTATTTTACAACATTGTGCTAGGGAAATGTATTTGTGAATCAGAAAGAGATCTTGATTAAAGTAATATAACATCCAAGTTGTAATCCTTACACTAATGTCTGCTTGTAATATGAAAATTCCCTGTTTACAACATTGTGTGGGACTTGATGAATGATTGTTAAAGTTTAACATCTTCAATCACACTAATGTTCTTAGTTTGAGAGTTTTTTTACCATTGTGCTAGGGAAATGTATTTGTGAATCAGAAAGAGATCTTGATTAAAGTGTATAACATCCAAGTTGAATCCTTACACTAATGTCTGCTTGTAATATGAAAATTCTTATGTTATGAGAGTCTGGTGTTTACAACATTGTGTTAGGGAAATGTATTTGTGAATCATTGATTAAAGTAATATAACATCCAAGTTGTAATCCTTACACTAATGTCTGCTTGTAATATGAAAATTCTTATGTTATGAGAGTCTGTGTTTACAACATTGTGCTAGGGAAATGTTTTGTTCAGAAAGAGATCTTGATTAAAGTAATATAACATCCAAGTTGTAATCCTTACACTAATGTCTGCTTGTAATATGAAAAATTCTTATGTTAATTTTACAACATTGTGCAAAATGTATTTTGTGAATCAGAAAGAGATCTTGATTAAAGTAATATAACATCCAAGTTGTAATCCTTACACTAATGTCTGCTTGTAATATGAAAAAATTCTTATGTTATGAGAGTCTGTTTACAACATTGTGCTAAAATGTATTTGTGAATCAGAAAGAATCTTGATTAAAAAGAAACATCCAAGTTGTAATCCTTACACTAATGTCTGCTTGTAATATGAAAAATTCTTATGTTATGAGTCTGGTGTTTACAACATTGTGCTAGGGAAATGTATTTGTGAATCAGAAAGTCCATTTCTTATGTTGTTCAGAGTCTGGTGTTTACAACATTGTGCTTGTATTTGTGAATCAGAAAGAGATCTTGATTAAAAGTAATATAACATCCAAGTTGTAATCCTTACACTAATGTCTGCTTGTAATATGAAAAATTCTTATGTTATGAGAGAGTCTGGTGTTTACCATTGTGCTGGGAAATGTATTTGTGAATCAGAAAGAGATCTTGATTAAAGTAATATAACATCAAGTTGTAATCCTTACACTAATGTCTGCTTGTAATATGAAAAATTCTTATGTTATGAGAGTCTGGTGTTTACAACATTGTGCTAGGGAAATGTATTTGTGAATCAGAAAGAGATCTTGATTAAAGTAATATAACATCCAAGTTGTAATCCTGTGGAATGTCTGCTTGTAATATTTCTTATGTTATGGTCTGGTGTTTACAACATTGTGTTAGGGAAATGTATTTGTGAATCAGAAAGAGATCTTGATTAAAAGTAATATAACATCAAGTTGTAATCCTTACACTTATGAAAATTCTTATGTTAAGAGTCTGGTGTTTACAACATTGTGCTAGGGAAATGTATTTATGAATCAGAAAGAGATCTTGATTAAAGTAATATAACATCCAAGTTGTAATCCTTACACCAATGTCTGCTTGTAATATGAAAAATTCTTATGTTATGAGAGTCTGGTTTTACAACATTTGCTAGGGAAATGTAAGTGAATCAGAAAGAGATCTTGATTAAAGTAATATAACATCAAATGTCTGCTTGTAATATGAAAAATTCTTATGTTATGATTGTGGTGATCTTGATTAAAGTAATATAACATCCAAGTTGTAATCCTTACACTAATGTCTGAAATATGAAAAATTCTTATGTTATGAGAGTTCCTAGGAACATTGTGCTAGGGAAATTATTTGTGAATCAATCATCTTGATTAAAGATAACATCAAGTCCTTACACTAATGTCTGCTTGTAATATGAAAAATTCTTATGTTATGAGAGTCTGGTATTTACAACATTGTGCTAGGGAAATATTTTGTGAATCAGAAGAGATCTTGATTAAAGTAATATAACATCCAAGTTGTAATCCTTACACTAATGTCTGCTTGTAATATGAAAAATTCTTATGTTATAAATTTGGTTTACTTGCAGGGTCTTCTGGTAGGAAAGGATGATGACAAAAACCACAATTTTCAACAAAAAAAAAATTTAATTTTCGTGAGACTGTGTTCATTATAAAGTCAACCACAAATGCAGTTACATTAAAAACCATATCATTGTCAAACCTGAAGTTAGACGTTCCACTCACACCCAATGTCATGTCGCAAGAGTGAGAGAAAATGACTCAAGTCTCCCTCAAAGTGAATTTTAACAATATACAAGCATTTTTCCTTTAAGTATATATACTGACATCTATAAAATAAAATTCATGCGGCTGAGCCCCGTGTAGGGAGAGGATCATGTGCTCAGCGCTGCAGTGACTCTCTGACCATACCCTGTCGTGGGACTGATGATGATAGTTATTTAAATCTTCAATCAATATTTCCAGTTTGCATTTTCCCATTATAGGCATTAGTGTATCTGTGATCTACAACAAACAGACTAGCTGAAAGAAAGGGATGATAAAAACACACTGTTCACAAAGAGATTTTTTATCCTGTCATGTCACATAAGAAATTACATACAAATATATTGTGAGACATGGTGGAGTAGAGGATAGCAGCTCAAATTGAGGAATCATAGAACCGAGTTCGAATTCCAGTCGAATCCATTACATTCACTTAGCTGCTAATACCCTTGGGAAAGGTATGAATCCTCCTCTTCTCCCTCCAGCCATGGGTAAATAGCAGGACAGACCGAGTTCTATAGCCTTGGACGGCAACTGGTCTAGAAGGGCAACTCTGAATTCAAAACCTGTGGAGTGTCGTTTGGGGACCTTGTGGCATGTAGTGCACCAGGTCTCTGTATTCGTCCATTCAAAAAGTGTGGTTGTTTCTGCACAAAGCCATCACCACTATAATCAAATAGTATGTGATGGTGTCAGGGCTGTCGGTTCCTAGGAACGGAGTTGCTTGACAATCATACGACGAGAGAGTCCAAGTCCACCATATATATATATATATATATATATATATATATATATGGATTTGTTTTGTTATTATTAGTTATTTTAATAAATTCATTTTGTTTTTGTCTTGAAAATGTCCACATTGGACGAAACACATCGGCTAATATTACAGTTTTCCTATTGTCTTTTACATTTATAAATATATATATATATATATATATATATATAAACATGTCACAGAAATTATAGCATATGAATACAACAAGCAGGGTGAGAAGTAAGAGGGCCTTACTTGTAATATTTCTTGAAGAGGAAGCTGCTGAAGTGCTAAATTGTAAGTATACTGAGGGTGATAATATTTCAGAATCATCTTCTGAATATCATGTGACCATAATCACCAAAGAAAAGCCTTTTTTGCTGCCACATCGGCAGGTGTAATTTAGCAGATTATGGCTCACCTGGAAGATCACAATTATATACACATGATCCAAAAACGCTTCCCCTGTAAAATTTGCACGCGTGACTTTTCCCGAAAATCTCGTAATAAGACACATGCGAATACACACTGGTGAAAAACCTTTCCAATGTCAAGTTTGTGGTTTAAGTTATGCCCAGAACTCCAGTCTTAAAATCCATGTGCAAACACACACAGGTGAAAAACCCTTCAGCGGTGAGATTTGTAACTCAAAATTTTCTCAAAAATCCACTCTCAAGGGCCACATGCGAATACACTTAGAGAAGAAACCCTTCCATTGTGAGATTTGTGGTGCGAAGTTTGCAGTCAATTCTAATCTCAAGCGGCACATAGTATTTCATACTGGTGAAAAAATTTTCCCTTGCAATATTTGTGGATCAAGTTTTGCATTGAAATCACATCTTAAAAGACATGTGCAATCTCATACTGGTGAAAAACCATACTATTGTGGTATTTGTGAGTCAAGGTTCTCAGAGGAGTCATCACTGAGAAAACACGTGCGAACTCACACTGGGGAAAAACCATTCCATTGTGATATCTGTGGTTCAGATTTTTCTGATAGTTCAAAACTGAGGCGACATATTCGAACACATACTGGAGAAAAACCCTTTAAGTGTGAAATTTGCGGTGCAAAATTTCCAGATAATTTCAGTTTGAAGAGGCATGTACGAACACACACGGGCGAAAAACCCTATTACTGTGTAATTTGTGGTTCGCAATTTTCAGATAATTTCAGTTTGAAGAGGCATGTACGAACACACACTAGAAAAAAACACTATCACTGTGTAATCTGTGGCTCACAATTTTCAAATAATTCCAAACTGAAAATACATAAGTGAGTACCCACCAAGGAAAGATCCATTTCAATGTGACATTTGTAAATCAAAGTTTGCATGTAATTCAAATTGCAGAAAACACAAACAAACATTTGAGAAACACCTACTCCTTTCTTGGATACTATGATTTAAACTAGCAAATTACCTGTCAAAAATTATGTTTTTGCATATAGATTGATTATGCAAATATATATACTGTAAGCAATAAAACAAACTAGCATATTGCCTGCCAAAAATGATGTTTACATACAGCAAACAATGCATGTTGGACAAAATTTATTTTTCTGGTAATTTTCTGTAACTCTTCATAATTTTTGTTTTCAGTAACATGTCAATAAAACTGAGATATCATCATGACCAACAGTTATTGCTTACCTGCAGTATACACACAAACACAGTAGATCTCCTTTTTATGCTTGTGTATTGTATCAACTTTCTCTTTTTCTGTTTCCTAAACCATGACAACAAGCCAAAAAATAATGTTTTTTTTTTATATAACCTCTGTTGTATAATCACTGAGTGGGCCCTGAATTTTTTGTGAGTATTCTCTCAGGCCCTTGTGCACCTATAAGGATTTGTGTTCAACCCAGACCTCAAGAGGAACTTGTACATATGATCCATCACTGCAGATGCTGGAAAAATGGTCATCTCCCTCAAACAAACACATGGAGTAGAGTTCATTTTGTGCTTGTGTGTTGTGTCATTTTCTCTTTTTCTGTTTCCTTTTAGCATTGACAACAAACCGACAAATACTGAAAAAATTTATAATATTTAAATTTAATATTTCTTATCTAACACTAGCAGTAGAGCCCGGCATTGAAGTATCCACCATCATAAAGACTGAAAAATAAAATTTACAAAGATTATTGTTTAAGGTTGACAGACACGCATGTCATAATTAGTTTTTTTTTTACAAATTGGTCAAACCCAAACTCAAACAAAAACATTGTTTTCAATCGTTATGAGTCTCTACTGATTGAATAGAATTTTATTATCAACAATTGTCTTGTAAATGGAATTTTTAAAGCATTCTAAATGTAAAAATAAAGAAAAAAGTGTGCAAGACAATAAGAAACACTACATGCCAAAAAAAGTGAGGTTTTGTTGAAATCAGTTGAAAAATGTAGGAAATCCGATCCCATATATAAAGGAACCCACACACACAAACAACCTGATGTGAGTTGTCCCCCTTTCATTCTCATGATGTCACTTAATCGTGTTTTAAATTGATTTTGTGCAAAAACAATTGTATTTTTCTCATTTTTGGCGCTGTTAGAACCACCACAAGGTAATTTTATGTAGTCCTGTGAAGTTTTGTTGAAATCTGTTGAAAAATGTAGGAAATCCTATCCAATATATAAACGTCACACACACACACACACAAAATCTGCGTTTTATAATAAGTAAGATTAGTTGTATTATTACTGAGCAGACAAATGAATGGATGTTTTCTAAAGGAAGCCCCATGTCCTTATTACCTGTTGGGATTTCAGCTGAACGCAGACCTTAAGATGCTGGAGAAATGGTAGGTTGCCTTTACAAGACCCAGATCAGGCTGAAAATGAAGTACTCTTAGGAGTTGCCAAGTCTTCATTTTTCAGTCCAAAAGCATCTGTACGTCCTTGTAGGTGATAAACTATTTTCCACTCTAGAATTCCCTTCCTCACAGACGAAATGTCACAAACCTCTCACTGCTCACTATTTTCATTATTCAGACTATTGTCCTCATCTTTGTTGCCATATATATCACAACATTTGTTGGAATGTTGAACTGAACCTTTTATTATGCTCACTGGAGTAGACTGTTCTAGTTCCATGTGCCATGTTATCAATTATCTCCTGTTAATTCCCCACTCCAAGTTCTCCACTGGGTATTGAACTCACACTCTTTGGGTCCTTTCACTGGATCTGACCAACACCTTTATCCGCCGTGCCAGGTTTCCTTGAGGGAAACTGTGTATGAATTTCTGGGTATTATAAACCTAATGTCAGCAGCAACCGTTTTTTACCAGTGCTCATATTGCAATTTTTGTTGTTATCATTTCATGTTTTTACTAGAGCTCATATTGCAATTTTTGTTGTTATTATCGCTTTTCGCTGGCACTGGTTATTACTGGCTCCCATATTGTATTCATTTCTATGCTTGGTCGGCTCAGGAGATTTTTGTGGTCTAGCATATGTGCTGATTCCTTAAGTTTACAAATTTTCCAATGGTGTTCTTAGTCTATGATCTCAACCTGATCCCACAGAGGACGGTGATCTCCCTTTTCTCTCCATGATGTGGTCAACCACATCTGATTTTTTCACTTCCCCTAGTGTTACAGCTTTCTGGTGCTTCTAATGTAAATAGTGTACATAATACCTCATCTCAGAAATCTAGACAGATACTCTCACTGCTCTGTTGCTATTTCCATGGAAAATGTTCAGATGAACTACATTCCTTAGTTCCACCAGTTCCAACCATCAAAACTAAACCACTGATATTGGAGTGAACCATCCTTATTACCTTTGTATTTCATTGTTGAGATGTCAGTTCTACTCAAACAGTGTCTACCCTACTGTTTGGAACCAACTCCCAAGAGGATGCTTCCACAGTCACTACAATCGTGATTTGTTTATGATTAACCATTATCTTCCCCGTATATCCCAATAATCCATGCCCCTTATGTTGTAACTTGAGTGGTTCTTGGGCCTTGTACAAGGTGAATATTATTGTAATAAAAAAAACTTGGATGTGTCTAGTTGCTTAATACAATTTTTAAGAGTTAGTCCAGGAAAAGACCATCCGGGGTATGACGATAAACTACATCTGCCAGTAAGGCCTCTGATCACGAGGTTTTGAGGTGCGTGGGACCACCTC